CTCCTCCTCCTCCTTTCCTCTTGTCCCTCCTTTCTCTCCTTTTCTCTTCCTCCTCCTCCTCCTCCTCCTCCTCTTCTCCTCCTTCCTTTTCCCCCTCTTCTCCTTACACATTTTCCCCCAGTTCATGACTCTCCCTTGCCTGGCCTGGAGCAAAGGGAACTGAACCAAACTGTCCAGCCATCTGCACTGGGTTTTGGGAAGGCTCATTGCCCTCCCTCACCCCTTCTGTAGCCCAAACTGCAATAATGAAAGGTGTGTCCAGTGGAAATAAAGCTGGAGATCAAAGTCCTCTCTCCCCAGCCAAATAGATGCGTGGGAAGTTTCTGACGCCACAAGCAACAGCTAGCAACAGTTTCTGCCCTACCGTGGTAAATATTTGGCCAGTTCGCTAGCCAGAGATCAAATCTAATATTGTCTAAAAGCTTTAATTGCCCTGGAGAAAACCAGGTGCTGTTTCTTGATGAAGTCCCGGTGACTCTTGCAACGATGGCACACCTTTTGTATCAATAAAAAAACATTTCCAATCTAAAGCGTAATTGTGCTTCCCAAGTTACTATTTAAAGGCATTTATGCGTAGCCAGTAAAAATTTAACCGAGAAGGGAGAGGTCTCGGAAGCTGTCTGTGGAGAATAGCAAAGTAAGCACTAATAGCTTTTAAATGAAGAGGTGTGTCTGAGAGAGTCAGCCCGACTTTAGATATGTTGGGGAATACTTAAATATAGAAAAGAATACCAGGCTAAGGGGAGAACAAAGCAGGCAAATAGATATCGGGTAATATCTTGTAATTGTAGATGAGAGTCCTTGGCTCAGTAGTAGGGTTTTTGTTTGGAATTCTGGTTCCTATCCTGATACAGAAACAACTGACAAGAGGATCCCTTGCTGCTGAAGGCTTGGGAACAGATCAAGTAGATCTGATGTGCTGGAAAAAGTGGATTGGTGGAACCCGCCTCACGGATCATAGTGCAGCTGCTTGCGTTCATGAAGAGATCAGTAACAACAGGCAGTCATTTAAACTTCTCCCATAGAAACACAGGGCTGGAAGGGACAGTGGAAGTCTTCTGCTCTAATCTCCTTGTGACCAAGGCAGGAGTCCTTATTCCTTCCTGGACGAATGGTTATCCAGCCTCTTCTTGAAAACTTCCGGCAAGGAAGCACCCACCACTCCAGGAGGCAAACTTTTCCACTTTGTTAATTGTTCTTACTGTCAGAATATTTCTCCTTCATTTTACATTGGATCTCCCCTTTAATCATCTTCCACCCCTTACTTCTCATCCCGCCCTCTGATGCTTGGAGAATAAGTTAATATTTTCTTTACTGTGACAGTACTAGAAGATAGCTATCCTGTCACCCCCACGCCTTCGCTTCATTAGGCTAAACATACCTAGTTCATTGTATGATTTAGCCTCCAGACCCCTTATTATTGCCGCTGTTCTTCTCTGCACTCTTTCTAGTGCATTGCTGCCTCTTCTCTCCTTTAAAAAGCAATCAGAAATCTTTGGTGGGAACCCCAAAGAGGCTGAGCTTCTACTTAGGTGTATCGACTGAGGGTAGCGTGGCCCTCAGTGAGAATTTAGGGAGTTGGTGCGAGCACACAGTGTGTTTACCAGACTCAAAAATGTATTTGCCTCTAGTGAGTTAGGAAACTGAAGCAGTCAAGCATGGACAATTTCCACAAGATAAGCACCTTACTTACTGAGCAGAACGCATGGCTTCCTGGACCGAAAGCTTGTGACAGCTAAGAGCCAATGGTGGCCTCACACAGCACTTAAGCCACTCGTTTATTTTGTGCCCATCGCCACTCGCAGTCAAGCCTCTTTTGCAAACAGTTGAAGTGCTGCAGGAAAAAAGGAAGAAGAATGAGTAGGTATTACTAGCTGGTCCTCTGAACCACTTTGGGCCTGCTAGGGGGTGAAAAGCAAATTTTCTTGTTCTTGATTCTGCAAGGCAAGTTTAAAGCAGCGGTGTTTTAATAACCCAGGTCTTGGTCTGTCGGACATTTTCTTTTTATATCTTGCCTGCCAAAAGCCCCAGCTGGTTTGATCCCCTCTCTGGCTACCTCAGGAATCTTGAAAACTCAGAAGAGACATTTCATTTTTTGTGAAGTGGTCAAGAACCAATATAAGAAGTTCAGTGGCTGCGTGATAGTCATTAGCTCAGATAGTCAATTAGCTCATTAGGTCAAGGGATTAAATGGACTCAGAATAACGGATTAACAGAGTTGGAAGGGACCTTGGAGGTCTTCTAGTCCAACCCCCTGTTCAGGCACAAGAGCTATACCATTTCAGACAAAGGTTTATGCAATCTCTTCTTAAAAACTTCCAGTGTTGGAGCATCCACAACTTCTGGAGGCAAACTGTTCCACTGGTTAATTATTCTGTTAGGAAATGTCTCCTTAGTTGTAGGTCGCTTCTCTCCTTGATTAGTTTCCATCCGTTGCTTTTTGTCCTGCCTTCTAGTGCTTTGGAAAATAGGTTGATCCCCTCGTCTTTGTGGCAGCCCTTCAAATATTGGAAGACTGCTATCATGTCATCCCTAGTCTGTTGGTGATTTCTCATCAAAAATAGAGCCCCCATATTCAGAAGCAATGTACCCCCAAATACCACTTGTTGAACAGCCCCTGGGTAGATCGGTTGGGTCCAGCAGGTGCTTTTTAAAAGAAACAATTGTGTTTTGGGGTGGGAACAGCTAAGATTCTTGAAGCATATGTCATACGCCTGCCTCTCTTCTTTCCCCAAAATTGTTTTGAAATGGTCTTGGAAACTTTTTAAACTCGTTCCTGTTGGATGATGTTCCTGTATATTGATACCTGCCCTCCCCTATAATGGTACCCATCAGATACGTTCAGTGGTGGGATTGGAATAACTTAATAACTGGTTGTCTGGCTGGGTAGGCATGTCCAGTTGGTCATGTGACTGGGTGGGTGATGTCACTCATCACACCCAGCCCCGCCTCCCAGCCACTCGCCTCAAAGGAAGAGGTAGGATTCAACCAATTGGGGCTAATCCCACCACTGACTGGTCCCACCCCGCCCATTTTTGGGCCTCTTTTTTTTTTTTGGCTGTTTCAGGCCGTTTTTTCTGGCCATTTTTCAGCTGTTTTTTGGCCCATTTTCAGGCGGTTTTTCAGGCTGTTTTTGGCCACCAAATGGCCCCAAAACAGGCTAAAAAAACAAGTAGTGGCAGGGATTTGCTAGTTTGCCAGACTGCAGAATCTTAACTGCCGGTTCGCTTGAACTGGTGCAAACTGGTTAACAGCCCACCTCTGGATATGTTCCAACTATATCTCCCAGAATCCCAAGCTCAGCAGCCGCTCTTCGATGTTCCTTGGAGGAAGGGGGAGGACTTTGAGCCCCCTCCTTACCAACTGTTTGTGCCTCGGTTCCCAGTTCACCCAGTTCCCACCCTGTTTTTCTTCCTTTCCAGGGATGCTTGAATACGACCCAGCCAAGAGGTTTTCAATACAACAGATAAGGCACCACAAGTGAGTGCTCCTTTATGTTCTGTTTTTTTTTTCCCCCTCTCTCCCCTTTTCTCCTGTTTGATGTTGTGAAGCTGTGTGTCATTTCTGTGCTGATTTGCCACTTTGGGGAAGGGAACAAAATGCAAGCAACTCTTCCCTCCCCCACTCCATTAAAACAAAAGCAGCTGATAGTTAGTAAAGAAAGTTTTATTTTTAAAATTGATGCCCCGTTGCATTTTGCTTCTTCAGAAAGCCTCTGAGTGGTTGGCCTTTCCTTCTTGATCAATAAGGATATACAGCTACATCGATTAAACAGCTCCTGCTCACAAGGAAGGAAAAGTTGTACAGATAGTTCTTGACTTACAACTGCAGTGGAGCCCCAAATCTCTGTGGCTAAGTGCGACAATTTTTCACTGAGTTTTGCCCCATTTTGCAACCTTTCTTTCTTTTTTTTTTTGCCTCAGATGCTAAGTAAATCACTGCCCTTGATAAGTTAGTAACCCGGTTGTTAAGTGAATGCGGCTGCCTCATTGACTTTGCTGGTCAGAAGGTCGCAAAAGGGGATCACGTGACCCCGGGACACTGCAGCCGTCATAACTATGGAGCAGTTTGCCAAGCCTTTGAATTTTGATCATGTGGCCATGGGGGCGCTGCAACGGTCACAAGGGTCGAAAATGGTCATAAATCACTTTGTAACTTTAGTGGCTTTCGTTGTAGTCACTTTAATTGTAACTTTGAATGTTCACTAAATGAACGATTGTGAGTCAAAGACTACCTATATTATCATAAAACCAATGGCGGTAACTAGTGTTCTTCTCAGTCAGCACCCTGGGATTGAAGTTTTAGAGGTGAATGTCAGACTTATTCTCAGAACTTGGATTTCCACTTGGCCAAAGCTGCAACCGCTCCACACGCTCGTCACACTTTAGGGGGACATCAACATTTGTAACAGAAGCCATTGCTTGGGGGGGAGGGGGGGGGCAGTCTCAAATTAAACTGAAATCTGTGAGATCTTCAGCAGAGCCTTGATGGAAGATGTGATGGAGGGACCACAGATATTCAGTGCATGTTTGGTTACAGAGTCTACTTCCAAAGCCTTAATATCTATGTGTGTTTCTGACCTCTTTCCAAAATGATCCTTGGGAGCAAAATTCAACATTGATTCATTTCTGCCCACAGTTTATTAACCCTGTCTTTTATCTAAAGCAACGTTTCTCAACCTTGACAGCTTGAGGATGTGTGGACTTCAACTCCCAGAATTCCCCAGCCAGCAGGTCATAATCCCAATATCTAGTACAGTGTTTCTCAACCCATGGCAACTTGAAGATAGGTGGACTTCAACTCCCAGAATTCCCCAGCCAGCCTGGCTGGGGAATTCTGGGAGTTGAAGTCCACCCATCTTCAAGTTGACAAGGTTGGGGAAACACTGCTGTAGTCTAAAGAATTGAAGTTATGGCTCCTGTGGGCTTCCTCCTCTCTTTCCCTGTGACACCCTGGCCTGAAATCACTTCATTCTTTTTGGAGATGGAATGAAGAGCTTCATCCTGCATCACTCAGCCTACCCCCAAGTCTCCAAGAGCATCACCCCTCTGGGAAGCATGTGTTGGCGCATGGTTCTCCTTGGGACTTTTTGGGTCCAAACAATTAAGGCAGCTGTGCCAAGGTTTGCTTCATCCAAGTGAGGATGGGTGAAAGAGTCTTAAGTGATTTGATGATGGAGGAAATGCGGTGCCTGGGCTTTTAAAGTTGAATCTGTCAATTTGACGTTTTCCTAAGAGTGTAACTTGAGTTCCAGGGATCTTGTTTGGGAGCAAAATAAGTTTGGTGTGGGTTCAACCTCCATTCTTGTGTTTTACTTTCTCTCTGTCTTTAGAGGCAGCAGAAGAAATGCTAGTTTCTAGTTCTCCCCTTTGCCTTCCTTCCTTCCTTCCTTCCTTCCTTCCTTCCTTCCTTCCTTCCTAGAAATAACTCAAGGCAGTGAACACATATAATACTCCTCCCTCCTCCTATTTTCCTCACAACAACCCTGTGAGGTGGATTGGGCTAAGGGAGAGTAAATGGCCCACAGTCATTCAGCCAGCTTTTATATCTAAGGTGGCACTAGAACTGTCAGTCTCATGGCGATTGGCCCAAATTCACCCAGTTGG